AGGACCCACATTTGTGTGGAAAGGCAGTGAGGGAGGCTCTGCCAGGAACACAGGGCTGGACTTGCTTCCTGACTGCACCACTGGGCTTGGAGGTGGGATTTGGAGAGTGCAGGGAGCCTTTGGACAACTGCACAGAACAGACTCCAGTGGCTGATCCCTGGCTATTAACCTGGGCTATTGGCCAAGGATGTGGCAGCACCTGAGCACAGGCAATGAACACATCCCATTGCTGAAGGCCCTTCCATCTCTGTAGCCCTTCCTGCTGGAAATCCCTCATCCTTTTGAGTGGCAGGAGGCTCATATGGCAGGGAATGCATACAGGTTTAAGGTGGGAAGATCCCGGCTACAGGGGATCCAGGTACAAGAAGAAATACTTCAGCACCAACTTTCAAGCGGAGGATGGATGTCTGTTCCTCCATGAAGATGCTCTTTCAGGTCAAAGGGAAAACCCTGAACTTCCAATTTATCATAGAATCATAGAACCATAGAATCACAGAATCACAGAATCACAGAATGATTTAGGTTGGAAAGGACCTTAAAGATCATGTAGTTCCAGCCCCCTGCCATGGGCAGGGACACCTTCCACTAGACCAGGTTGATCAGAGCCCAATCCAACCTTTCCTTGAATACTTCCAGCATTGCATCACATTCACAGCTTCTCTGGGCAATCTGTGCCAGTGCCTCACCAAGCTCACAGTAAAGAATTTCTTCCAGACATCTGATCTAACCTCACTCTCTTTCACTTTAAAGCCATTCCCCATTTGTTCTATCAAAACATGCCCTTACAAAAAGCCCTTTAAAAAGCCCCCTATGAAAACTAATGTGGAACTATATGAAACTAATGTTGTGAGCAGAAAGCCCTGGCAAATGACCGTGCTGGAGGGATGAGGAGATGCTGCAGGATCCTTGGTGAGCCTGGGGTGGATTGTGCTTGGAGCTGTGCACTACTCTATTACTTGCTGCTCATTTCCAAACATGCAGTCTCTGCACATCTCCCCACTGACGTGCTGAGGCCCCACAGCAATTCCAGAAGCCCTATCTCCATGCTGGTCTGCACCACCAGCAGACACAGGCAGGGCTGCAAAGCAACCTACACTTTTAATCCCACTGGCCCAGTACCAACAAAACTGAGGTGTGGATGTTGGTGGGAAAGCACAACCTCCATGCCTACATGATGGTCTGTGGCTTACCCAGGCTTGCACAGACTTTTTTTTAGAATGTGCACAAAGCCAGACTCAGTAAAGCCACGTGGTTGACACCAGAGTTCCTGAGCTATGTCCAGCATCAAGCATCACAGCCCCATAGGTGCCCAGCCAGGTCTACTGCCCAGGACATCCTCCAGGAGAGTATTAGGATGTCTGGGGGACTGAGGTGTTTGTAAGGCATTCCCCCTAAGAAAGGTCCTTGCAGGATGTTTCAGTGGTGGAGGCAGAGGAGTAGGATGCTCATTCCCTATGCATTATTTGGTGACACATTTTGTCCCAGAGGATGATCCCAGAAGCTGAAGAGTCTGGGGAGACTCCTGCAGGCCACAATAAAAGGGCTGTTTCCAGATGTCTGCTCCAGGCTCTAAAGGGTGGGCTGCAGAGGCACACAGCTCCTTCATGCTGCAAAGACTTTGAGCACAGGCAGCTGGTGGAGGGAAGCTGAGATGGAAGCAAGATCCCTAAAGTTTTGGGTCTGTGTGGTACAGCAGCAAGACTGGAGATTCCCATGGGCAGGGCCAGGCTTTTCAAATGCTTCCCATGTGCATTGTGCAGGTTTGTTTTCTGAGGGAAAGCCATCCAAAATCCACTTCCTCCTTCTACTTTGCCCATAAACTCTCTCCCCCCATTTTTATTTTTTCAGCAATCTACAGAGCTTTTCTCCAAGTCAGGTGAGACTCAAAAAACCAAGTTCCCTGCGGTGGTTGGGAGTGGTGAGTCTGGGGCATAGGATGCAAAGGTTTATAGTCAGAGGAGGTTACCCCTTCCTACCATGGATTTTCTCAGCAAATGTGAGTGTAACCTTGTGTGAAAGACTCATGCAGATCACCTTGCCTCGGTCTCAAAGTCTACAGAGAAAATAATCTGAATGGAGTTTGGTGAATCGAGCAAATTCAAAAGGCTCTGCAGAGCCACCTTGTGCCCATCAAAAGCATTCTGGAAGAACACAGCAGTTCAAAAGCAAGGAGTCTGAATAAAATATACACAATTTATTTATTTATAGGAGGTTTACAGCTGTACAATGTTGGCTTTCTGTTTGGACCACTCTCTGAGCTTGTGCAGCACGATACATCAGTGCCTTTGGAGATGAAGACAAGTCACGGCCTGTTTTAACAGGCAGATGTCAAAAAGAAATGGATCCCACAGAGTGTAATGCCAGGCTGCTTGCAACCATTGAAATGATTAACAAAAGAAATGTGAAATCAATCACACAAGTGTCCTACCCCATTCATGAGGGACTGGAAAGTGCTTTTCAGACCTGCCCTCCTCTCAAAAAAAAAACAACCCAAAACCCCCTGAATATTTCTGTTTACTTCATTCAAAGATAAAAGGCATCAATGATAGGAATGGCATTTCAGTATTTCCCCTCCCTCATCTGCCCTACAAATAAGAGAAAAAGAAGAGTAAGAAAGGTAATTTTTGTTCTTCCATTGGAAATGTAGGGGAAGAAGGGTTCTGCTCTAACTTTTCCAAAACTTTTTTTTTCTTTAAAAAAAAAAGGACAAATATTACTGATATTAAGACAATTTGGTCCTGATATAGAGTGATTTTTAAAGAAGCTATTAAAAAGCTGCCTTTCCTTTCTTTATGGCTTGATTCTCTATAGGGAGGAAGGAGGTTGCCCATGGGTACCAGGGCACCACAACACCATGGTGAGCTTTGGCACTGCTCCTTGGGGATCTCAGTGCCATTTGGCACATGGCAGGGCACTCCTGGACAATTGGCTCTCCTTTGCTGAAGCTATCCATAGCCTGATTTCCTGAGAAAACATGGCTAATGCAGGCAGGCTGGACACCTCCATCTGCTGATGATGGTGCAAAGCTCCTGTCATGTTCCTGCAATGCCAAATAGCTCATCCCCCTGCCAGGTGAGGTATCTGTGGGCATCCCTCTCACATATCACTCTGAACATAAGCCTGGGAGATCTTCTCGTAAGACCCAAATCATACCTTCTAGCCCCACAATCCTGCTTCCATTTATTTTCAGTGGTAAGTCTCATAAACAAAACCAAGATAAAATCAAAATATCTCTGAATTGGTCTTCCTAAATTCAAGGATTTTCTGTGACTGTGGGATCAAAAAGTTACTTTACCTAACTAGGAGCACTTAAGTAAATTCTGCAAGACACTGAACCAAACTTGGTCCCAGTGGTGGCACCTGGACTTGGAGGGTGCTCAGTGCAAGCCAGGAGTAATTGAGATCTGGAAAGAGCATCATGAGTACCACTGCTTGCCTTTAAGTCCTGAAAAACAAGACCTAAGAACATAAGCAAATTTGGTAAAAAGGCAAACTCTTAACTGCAGGACTGTGAGGATGAGGCAAAGGGAAAAACAGCCCACAAAAATCAATGCAGTTGCACCATCTACTTCTGGTTGCACCAAGAACTGAGCTAGCAGGTACTTTGGAGAACACTTCACCATGTTTCAGACTTAGCAGACCTTTAGGGACTTTAAAAAAACCCCAAACAGACTTGCAGGACAAACATGAGTATTTAGTAGGACAAGCTATAGCAAAAGAAGGCTTTCCTGTTCACTTTTGTTGCAGGAAAAGGACTCTGCCCAGGTCAAAATTTAGGAAGACTCGAAGATTTTATCATATGTATTAATTTCCACTTGCATGCAGGTGACTGCAAAATATTTGCTTAGAAAATCTGACTGAAAAATCCCTTAACTTGCACCACTTTAAAGGCACATGAATAAAACCCCCAAACAGCAGGGAAAAAAAAAAGGTTTGAAACTTGTCCTAGTAAGCTGCTGAAAGGTCAGACAACGGGTTGTTGTTTGGTTTATCTGGGATGGTTTAGAAGAAGCCAGATTCTGCCACCCAGTGGAACAAGGAAGGTTAACCCAGTTTTGATGGAAATCAGGAGCAGACTGTAGCCCCAGACACATCCCCGCGGATGCATTTGGGCTGTGCTCCTGAGACTGGCTCTAGGACTGTGCAACTCATCCTCCACAACAGGAGACTGGAAATTAAAGGTGAGAGATGGACACTGGTATGGATTAAATATTCCCAGCATTTTCAGGCTGCACTGGGAGCAGTGCTCCTCTAGTACAAGCTAAAATCCCACTATTTTTAAAAATAATTTGAGAAAGCGAGGCACTGAGAAATGATGCACTGTAGGCAGCAGTACAGATGGAGCTCATGGAGCGAAGCTCCCCATCCCTTGAACTTGACACTCTGGCCTTCAGAGGAATGAATCTTCTCTTGCCTAAACACTGAACTGCCCCAGCAGACAACCCACCCCAGCTCCTGGGCTGAGCTCTTGGGATGGGGACGGCATGGAGACACGGAGACAGCAGGCACCATGGGAGTTCAGGAGGCACCCACAGGAGCTGGGTCCCGACTGATTCAGAAACCTGACCCAGAGAACAGTTATCCCATCACAGCTGTTGACATCTTTCTATACTTCAGAGTTGCGTGGGGCTGAACAAGACTTGGGTGGAGACAGCTTGTCCCCAAAATGATGGAGCCTTTGGTCTTGCTGCCCCTGTGGATTTGGGCTGCCTTGGTGCGTTTTCCTTGCAGCTGCAGGACGCAAACCCGTACCCAAAAATCACCCAACAGGCTCCGATCTGTTTGTCCACTTCTCCTTTGCTGTGGTGCCTCCAAAGATAAGCGATTATATGGCAATTTCAAGGGAGACAGCTCCATGCACACTACTCCTACCCCAAGCAGAAACACTGAAGATGCACTGAAGCAGCTGGTGGGACCGTGGTGGCCACAGGTGTGCATGGTGGCACGTGTGTGTGTGCCAGCCTGTGTAAACAAACAGCCCCAGGGCATGGTGCTCTGGCTGTCAGGACACACAGCGTGCTCACAGCGGTCCCACAGTGCATGTGGTAGCCTGGGAGGCTGCAGAGGACGCCAGCAGAAGGATCATTGAGGTTCCCCCAAAAAAAGGCACCATTTTTTTAACATTGAAAACACAAGATTGGCTCCTTGGAGTGGAATGCATGCATGGTTCATATACACTTTGCAGATGGTAGGAAGGCTCTGTGTGTCTCTCTCTCTATATATATGTATATGTACGTGTGCATGTTTATATTCACATATGTGGCACCAGAAGAGTCACTCTTAAATACTCAGACATTAGTGAGGATGTTACTGCTGAGCAGCATCACAGCAATGGTTCCAGGGAGATCGTTTGACCTCCTGTTCCCCCTGTCCTGGAGGTGCAGCGTGTGCACCGACTGCCGGTCGCTGGGATCCCCCGTGAGCACCACTTGGCCCAAGAACTCGTCACTTATCAAGTTGTGGTTCCAGATCTGTGGAAACAAAACAGGGATGAGGGCAGCTCCTTCAGGGATGCAGCCAACCTTCATGAACTGGAGAGAAGGGGTTACTGGGGACATGCCCTGAGCTGAAGCCAGGGAGGTGGTGAGGTGTGGGGGTGTCACTCTGGTAGTGAGAGGGGTGAAGGACATGCCTTTCCCAGATGTCACCGTGGTGGTGAGAGGTTGAGCTGCATTAATTAATGATGCTCAGCCTGAGGAACAGATCTGCTGTGGACAGTGTGAGGAGAGGCCAGGGGGTCCAAGTGAGAGAAGGTCTCCATCCCTCAGCCCACTGCTTGCCTGCCATGTACCTGAACAATGATGGGTTGTCCTGGCTTCTTGCGGTAGAAGAGCCCTTTCACATCAAACTCTGGTGATACCGTGTTCTTCTTCACTGGAGAACGAACCTTCTGCCCTTCACACTTGATGATCACATAAGGATCAGCTCCTGAGGAGAGAAAAGAGAATTTTTTCTTTGTTGTAGCTCCTGTAATTCCATAGAGTCCTTTTGCAGGGGTGTCATGCAGTACTTTGCCTTCATATCCTACCAGAGGAGATGGATATCTGCCAAAGGGTTTGTAACACCCCAGATGATGTCCATGGAGCTCAGCTATTTGACTCAATTTAATTCTATTAGGTGACACTGTTTCTAGGCAGCAGGTGCTGATGGACTGCTATGAAGCTGGGGAAGGGTCTGGATGGAGCACAAGTCTGATAAGGAGCAGCTGAAGGAGCTGGGGGGGGCTCAGCCTGGAGAAAAGGAGGCTTGGGGGGACCTTATCACTGTCTACAACTGCCTGAATGGAGGATGTAAGGAGGTGAGGGTTGGTATCTTCTCCCAGGAAACAAGCAACAGGACGAGAAGAAAGGGCCTCAAATTGTACCATGGGAGGCTTAGACTGGATATTAGGAAACCCTAATTCATCAAAAGGGTTATCAAGCACTGGAACACACTGCCCAGAGCAGTGGTAGAGTCACCATCCCTGGAGGAAGTTAAAAGATGTGTAGACATGGCACTTGGGAACATGATTTAGTGATGGACTTGCAGGGCTGAGTTAAAGTTGGACTCGATGATCTTAGAAGGCTTTTCCAACTGAAACAATTCTATGATTCTATGAAAGGGCTGCCTCTCTTGTCTCCATATTCTACAGGAACACTCCTTCATCAACCCAAACTCTTCTGACCACTGCAGTAAATGTTCCATGGAGGACATCATCCTACTCAAACCTCCTTTCAGCATTTGCTCTCCTAGAGGCAGGCAGAAATAAAACCATGGAGAAGAGAAAGAGGCTGACACAAGGAAATACCTGATGGAGGATGAAGTTGGAGGACCAAGTTCATACTACCAGCCCACAGCTGGAGGGGACCTGAGCTTCCAGGAGAAGGAAAGAGTCTCTCATTAATGAATACTTTCAGCTTGCCAAACAAGTCCTTATTTTGGGAATTTCAGTAGAGAGAGAGAGAGAGCTATTGCTATGGAAATCTAACTGCCAGAATGCATTTTCTTACCATGAACTTTAGTGGCTATAATGGAAACACAGACCAGCTGGATGAGCTTTCTTGTCCAAGGGAAATGTGGAAATGAGGAGGAACAAACAAGCCCCTTCTGAGGGCCAGGGATTTTGATTGTCAGACCACCTCTTTGCTAACCTTCTTTTTGCAAGGACCTGGCTCCCCTGGTGAGACACAGCTGCTGGATTTCACAGCTGTTTTTCCAAATTATCTTGTCTTTTGGGATGTCCCATTAAATACTCAAATTCCATCAGCCAGGGCCAAATTCCTATCTGTAAATCACTATTTCCAAAGTAGTGCATAAGGCCTGGCCTGGGATGTGTGAGAGATGCAACTGCACTGGAAAACACCAAACACACTGTTGGTGGTGGGAGCTGAACAGCTGGAAAACAGCTGGAAAAAAGCAAATCACAAGGGGTTTTTGTGGAAAAGATGTTTCATGACTCCAGAATCCACAAGAAGGAAAGATAAACCTCCTTGTTTCTGTGAACACTTCAGAGACCTTTGGCTACAGATTTCCCTGCATTGCTACAGATGCACTGACCTGTTGTGAATAACACAAGAAAAGAACACCTGCCTAGGGTTAAATTCCATCCCCAAACACCAAATAGGGTTTAAGAATTCCCTTTGTGGCATGTGATAAATAAGCACACTTGACTAGTCCTTGCTTAGAAAAGATCCTACTCATTACTTTCAGGGATATAGTGATAGGCAGCCCTGATAATAATTATTGGGTGAAAAGAAAAAGTATAATTTTAATTGGGTTTTATTAGATTTTTAAAATTTTTATATTTTTGTATTTTAAATTCAGATTGAACGTGTTTGGCTAAATCTTGCCACAATTACCACATATCCTTGACTCAGGAAAAGGGGGAGAAAGGCTAGGATCTGGTCTATTTCCATGGTGGAAAGGTATTTGCTTCTCTAATGGTATCCTCTAGAGCTTTTATCCCCTAGCAATCTCCTAGTACAAGCCATCACTACCACTGGGTTTCCTGGTCCAGAGGCAGACAAAGCATGGGGCTCTTGAGATGAGCCTCTGTGTGGCTGCAGGACATGAAGAGGTATGGTCCTGCTGCTGTCTTCCATGCAGGAAAACTGATGGATGTCAGAATTGATCTAATCCACACCATCCCAAAGTGAGCTAAATTTGGTACCCTCTGCTGATAAGACATTTATCCAGCCCCCAGTGATGAATACCACACATCAGGCTCGTTCTCTGTCCTTCTTACTAAGAAGCTTTTAAATACAATTCCTGACTTTTACAGCTGCTCATACCTGGGAGGAAAGCTTGGGTTGTTACAGGACCTCTGCTAAGGGCTTTGGGGAAGTTTTGGGAGAGTCCCAGTAACAGCCTAAATACAACAGCTCCCAGATCATGTCCACTGCAAGAAGTGAGTTTAGCCCTCCATGGATTTTCTCCTCCTCTGGTGTATGAATCAAGCATTTTCACAGAAAAAAAAATCTGAAGATATAAATTCCAGCAATGTCCTACTTCATAAACCACTTCCCAACTCCTCTGGGGCCAGACAACATGCAGGGAAAGACCAGTACCTCCTTGGGAATCCTGATTCTTGAGCCCAGCTGCAGCAAGGACATGGATCTGGGATACTACTTGTGGGTAGCCACACATCCCACTCCAGCAGGTGTGTGGCGGCTCATCCAGTGTCAACTCTCTGCAAGGAAAAACACGTGGCCTTTGAGAGGTGCCCAGTCTTATCCCAAAGAATTTGCTCTGGCACGATGAAGGACTGTACAGGCCATTCATTTAAGTGTTGGACTCAATGATCTTTGGCTGATCCTTGTGGGTCTCTTCCAACTCAGAATATTCTGTGATTTTGTGACTATGCAGTATCCACTGTCAGACTCTGTTCCCCACTCCAGTCTCCTCAGCCTGGGTTAGGAATGGTCTCCCATACCATGCTTAGAGGCAGAGTGGGAGCTTCTCTGCATGTCTGTGGAGATACCTGCAAAGATGTCCTGTCTCTTGACCACCCTTAACAGAAAGCCAAAGAGTAGCTGAAGGCAAGGCTATGACCATTCAGGAAAAACCACAAATCAAAAGCACAGGGCTGTCTCCAAAGAGCCAATTCCTCCCCATCTCTGCTTGTGCTCCTTACCGGCAATCTGAAGGCACGTCTGTGAAAATCCTGAGAAGGAACTCGCCTTCGTGACCGGGGTCAAAAGTGGTGGGGATGATGACGTAGCGGCCTTCCTTCAGGTCTGTCCTCAGGAAGACGCTGCGGGAGTTGATGTAGATGGAGCTGGCCACCTTCTGCTGCAGCGTGTGCATCCGGTAGTTCCTATTCAGCTCCACCTGGGCAGAGACCACAGCGGATTGTCACTGGCTGAAAAGGTACTGGTATCCACCATGGGGGGAAAAAATTGCAAGGACTGAGTCCACAGTGCCAGGAGACCTGGAGATAGGAGAACCAGGAAAAAGGGTCCCAACTGTGCTGGGTGGAAAACAAGTGTGGATGTGGCTTTCCCAATTCTTTTGACTCAGACTCATCTCTTGCATCCCAGCTTAACACTGCAGACCCAGCAAACAACACATAAGGATTAGTCTGACAGATTTCCACATTTGGAGAGAAAAGACTAATCGCTGCTTTTAGCAAGAACTGCACAGAATCACAGAATGGTTCCGGTTGGAAGGGACTTTCAAGATCATCTGGTTTCAATCCCCTGTCATGGCCAGGGACACCTCACACTAGAACAGGTTACTCAAAGCCACATCCAGCCTGGCCTTGAACATTTCCAAAGACGGGGCATCCACTGCTTTTCTGGGCAACCCTGTCCATGCTGTCCCCTTTGATATCCCTCTTCCTCTCTAGAGGAGGGCAGGCTGTGCTGATGGCACCCCAGAAGCACCCTGATAATGCTTAAATGAACGACCTGGTCATGCAGTGCTGGTGCACCACTCCACAACCAGCAAATTTACAGTGGCATTCAGGTCAACATGCAGAAGCCCAGCCTACCTTATGGATATCAAAGCCTATGGCCAAGTTCTCTCCTTTGCCCTCTTTGCGACTGGTCCTTTTGGGCTTCTGCTGGATGGAGATCAGCACTTCATCTTCTGCCTTCTTCACATCAAACACATACTAGAAGCAAAGAGAGGAAGGTAAGGGAAATATTTATTAATACAGCATCCCTAGACATGGGTGGAGGTGGATTTAACAGATCTAACATCAGCTTCTCCCAGTCCACCTCCAAGCAGGGACAGCCTGCCTTAAAAAGGGTAATACAGAGCTGGAAGCTGGACACAACTCTCCCACATCCTTGATGGCAATGCCTGCAATGGACCAGACCATCCTTCAACTGCTTGACAGATGAAGGACTCATAAGGACCTGGCTTGTGATCGTGAGAATCCCAGTTCAGAGAGGACAAGACAATTGCAGAATCATTTATGTTGGAAAAGACTTGTAAGATCATCCAGTCCAACCCTTAACCTAGCACTGCCAAGTCCACTGCTAAACCATGTCCCCAAGTGCCACATCCACACGCCTTTTGAATGCTTCCAGAAATGGTGACTGTACCACTGCCCTGGGCAGCCTCTCCTAGTGTCTTTCCCTTCCAATAAACAAGTTTTCCCTAATATTCAATCTAAACCTCCCCTGGCACAACTTGAGGCTGTTTTATCTTGTCCTACCACTTGTCATCTGGGAGAAGAGACCAAATCCCATCTGGATATGATCTTCTTTCAGGAAGTTTTAGAGAGCCATAAGGTCCCCTTGAGCCTCCTTTTCTCCAGAAAAGTCTGTTCCAGGAGGTGAACTTCAAGCTAGAAGGAAATGGCTCTATGAGCTACACCTGTCCTGGTAAATTTAACAGCATCAAAGTTTGGGCGCAAAAACTGGAAATTCGGACATCCAAATTGTTGGAAATTACTCCTGGCCCTGTTTGACTGGAACCAGCCAATATTGCTACCCTGTGGCACAGTTTGTTTTTCCCTTGTGCCAAGATGCTCTACACTAAGCATTTGGATGCAGTCTCCTTGATAAGAGGGATAATGTTAATAGAGTTGGCCTCGATGCTGGTCATGCTGCGCCAGAGAATTGCCATAAGCCCAAATAATATATTAGAGGTCTGGTAGAGTTTTCGCCTTCTAGGTCCCTGTAGGAGAGTTAAACACTTGGGAGCACACGTGAAGGCTCCAGAAGGCCCTCTGCCCCATTACTCACTTGGGGGTTCTGCAGAAAAGTGTCCTTGTGGTTGATGCAGCCTCCGGAGCGGTTTTTCAAGGGGTCACTGCTTCTGGTCCATGCTCCGTGTAGCACTGCCTCCTCCCAGGTCTTGTGGATGCTCAGGTAGGAGGTGTTGATCAGACGGCACTTGATGATGTCCGTGAAGTATTTGCAGAAATCTTCAAAGGTCATCCTGAGTCAGGAAAGGGCAGAACTGGGTTATGATGCTTCATTCCCTGGAAAAGTACACTGTGGGGATTTTCTTGATCACTGGTTAGAGAGTATGGGTTGTCTCTGATGGCTGATGAGTAACAAAAGCTATTCATGAGATATTTCCAAAAGAGATGGAGATACCTTTCTCTATGCTTGCAGTAAATACTTCTTGAGTTCAAACAACAGATCTCTGTGTTTTGGAGTGGGAGAAGTAGCACAGTGGCCCTTTCACCACACAAGAGTAAATGTTGTACTGAAATACTCCTGTTGAGACTGTGAAGTTCAGCACATTTAGGACAGGCTCTTAGTACCCTAGTGAAATGGTTTGGCCCCTGAGTGGTGGCCTGGTAGAGCACTTTGCAATTCCAGGGCCATGGCCATCAAAAGCTAACACCTATGGGCTCAAGGAGGGAGCTTCACTAGAGATCCCACGTCTTGGAAGTCTGTTTTCTCTGGCTAGCTGTATGCATGGAAAAGATGTACATGCTCCATGAGGTGGGAGGATGCTGTGAGCATGGCCTGTAGTCACAAACCCAAGAGGGACTCACCAGAACTCTCCATCATCTTCCACTGTCATTCCCATCTTCTCCCTCTCACTTTTACTCACTTTCTGCCACTCCTCAGAGCTGTGGGAAGAGACCAGGATCATTACTCAGAGGTAAGGGACACACAAGAAATTGAGGCACAAGGACTGTATAAAGCCAGTCCCCATGCTGCTCTGGTTAGGCCATCTGCCAAACACAGGGGAAGTGCAGCATGGCTTGGAACTTCAACTTCCTTCCTGACCAGTGGAGCTGAATCCAGTATGGCAGGGCTTTATTTGGCCAGTACCATCACAGCCTATCCATAAAGATAACAAATTTGACTGTGGCCAAAGGCTCTGGCTGCACTAGCCCTTGGTTCCTCATCTCATCCCCAGCCATCACAGCAGCTGGTGGTGGCAGAGGCTGATTCTGTTGGGTGCTTGTTTTGCTGGAATAGGACTGGGAGCACAAAGGTGACCTACGCACCTCCTTCACTAGTATGAACAAACATGGAATCACAGAATCACAGAACGGTTTCAGTTGGAAAGGACCTTAAATATTATCTCATTCTAACCCCCTGCTATGAGTAGGGGAACTTACCGCTAGATCAGGTCTCTCAAAGCCCCATCTAACTTCATCTTGAATACTTCCAGGGATGGAGCATCCACAGCTTGTCTGAGGAACTGTGCCAGTTCCTCACCACCCTCACAGGGAAGAATTTCCCACTGAAACCAGCTGTCCATCCCAACTCACGTGTCACTCCAAGGGCCGTTCCACTCCCGCTCACCCCACGGGTTGCGCATGCGGATCATGTCCAGCTTCTCCGACTTGAAGAAGGACAGAAGGCCGTGGCCCAGACGGACCTTCCGCACGTCCGTCACCGCGTACGCGTGGCCCTTCACCAGTCCGCAGGCCAGGCGAGCCTCCATGTCAGCTGCTGACGTGGCCTGGCAGGGGGACACAGACAGTGCTCAGACCAGGGGGACATGACCACCTCTGGGGAGCTGGGAAAGAAAGCAACTCAGATTTCACTGCACGTTTCTTTAAGCCAAAAAGAAGAGCATCAATAGTCAGGGAGAAAGCCAGCTGGCACATCTCAGATGCCATTTTATGTGCTGCATCCCCCCTTTTCTTCATTTGCTTCATGAGGTCTCTGAGCTCCCATACTGGCAACTGATAAAGCTCATATACTGGTTATACTGGGAGGTTTAGAAACCAGCATTTGTAAAGATGCCCAGATGCAGACACCAAAATGCCTTTCTCTGGAGTGGATCCTCTCGTAGCCTTTAAAGAGTGCTGGGATGAATGTGGGCTCTTGGACATAGCAACAAAGAATAAAGAGGGTTGACATTCAGGATTCACTCCTTTTGCCATCACCCAGAATTGGGAACCCTTGGCCACAATTTATCTGATCTAATTTAGAAGTTTATGACTGTGTAAGACAACTGCATCCTAAAACACCTATTCCCATGGCACTGTGACCATACTGGTAATGTTGCTTACTTTGATGGAGCAGCTGATGAGGCCTCCCCTGTTGTGCACCTTCAACACGCGCTCAAAGAGGAGGTTGCGCTTGGCTTCATCAGCGATGTAGTCCCCTTCGGTCAGGTCGATAGGCTCAGAGACCCCACCAGTGAAATCCACCAGGGCATCAGCTGTGTTGCCTCCATCCAGGGCCTCGTAACAGCCTGACAACCTGAAAGAGGGTGGCAGGGATGGCACAACACTGGCCTGACATTTTAAGGGGTCGGGGACAATTCTTAGGGCAACCTCAAGAATGGAGATTTGCAGTTGAACTTCAAGTGGGAGAGGACAGAAAACTAGGGTGAAAAAATAGGACCCACGTTCCTTGTTGCACTCTTGCTGTCATAGGACCAATTTTAAAGGAACTTGAAATCTCTAGAATAGGTGTTACTTAAAGAAACATTGAAGGGTGTTTTGCTCTGAGGGTAAATTAGGGTTAGACAAGGGGTTTTTTCCTTAGTGTTTGTCTGTTTGAGTCATGCACTACTTCTCCACAGGAAAGATGTTGTTTCCACTGCTGCAAACTAGCTGGTGAATGAACAGAGAGGAAAATCAGAATGCCCAGGTCCCACTTTATCCTAAAACTGCCTGGGTACCTACTTGGCATAAGCTTTCTCCACCAAGGCACACCAGAACTCATTCCTGGAGTTGGAGTGGCAGTAGATGAGCTGATTGTGGAGTGTGGGCAGGCGGTCATCGATCACCACATCCAGCCACTGACCAAAACGCCAGAACTGGAAGTGGAAGATTCCCACGTAGCTCTCGGGTTTCTCAGGGTTCCACTCCTGCTCCTTCCAGTCTGGGATGACCTGCAAAAGAAGAGTCATACATACTCAAATTATCCCTTTTTTTGCTGGGATTGACTCTCATCCTGGCACTAATGCAGACAATATCAAAGACAAGGAAGTGTATGAGGGGGATGGACTTGCTTACAGTCTGCTGGGGCCAGATTTTGGACCTGGTTCTGCCAATGCAGACTAGATTAACATGTACTGGAATAGTTAGACTTCACTGTCCCTTGGAAGGTGGAGTTAAAGACCTTTGTCCTCTTTCTTATAACCCTATCCTGGAATCTGCTGCCATCTATTTCTGTAGACAGTCTACTGGAGCAGATGAGCTCTTTGTCTAACCAGGGATGGTTATTTTTATGACCATGTCTTTTGGTTTTTTTAGTGTCAGTAGGGTACCACTAACAAAGAGCGCCTTCTTTGATTCTCCTACTTGATTCTTGTGTGATTTGACTGGTCCAAGAGCAAGTATGGTATTCATCTACCTAGTGTCAACAAAGATACATGCAGCAGATCCTCTGCATGAGCCTACTCTGTTAAGTAAAAGTGGGAAAAGCAGGATCCCAATCCCTCAAGGCCTCCATTCTTTCCTGTCAAGACCTACCAAACTCACCCAGGCAAGCACAGGGAGGTGATTTGATGAAAGACAGAAAAGAAGGCCTGAGTTGAAAGAAGCCCTAGAGCAGCTGAGGGGTCAGAGGAGGCACAGGTTTGTGTCACTGTCAGCAGGACAGGGACAAGCAAAGGGGAACTGCCAAAGTCCATGGCCCGTCATGGCTACAGGCACCACCAGCTCTGTTTTGGATGGAAAATTCACCCAACAGCTGGGACAGAAATGACCACAGCCAGGCACAGAGGGTACACGTAGGGAGATCTGCATCTTGTTTGGAACCACGACACAGAGGCACAAGGCAAGAACTACCACACTGCAGTTTAGCTTTTGCTGAGGCTGGAGGCAATGTGGTTTTACTGCATGGCCAAGGCAGGCTGTGAAGGCCACGTGTGGTTACTGCAGCTGATGGCTGACAAGGACTGACTTACACAGCAGCAGTGAACTGACTGACTGTCCACACCCCTGCCACTCCACTTACCTGCTCCCAAAGGATCATGAGCTCAGTGATAAAAAAACCCAAGGTGCCCATGCAAGCATGCATTATGTTCCAATACACCAAATAATCACTTTCCTGTGGAGAGCTGAGCATGTTGGGGTGGGATAGGAGAGGACACAACTACATTGCATGGAAAGAGCCTCTTCAAGAAGTCACAGGTCTACCCTTGTCCAGCTGACAGAGCTGCTTTTTTTGGTTGTTGTTTGTTTGGTTTGTTTTGTTTGGGTTTTTTGGTTGTTGTTGTTGTTGTTGTTGTTGTTGTTTTTGTCTGCTGTCACAAAGCAGGAATTGTACACAGAGAATTCCCTCTGAAGAGCCCCCTGACTCCTTAGCTACCAGCAATGATCTGGTCCAGGGCTCTCATTGTTCCTACACTGAAATATTAATGATGCCATCAGCCCTGCAAGCTCACAGCCACTCTTTAGTCATATGGATCAATAGAAGCAGAGCAGACAAAGCCATGAAACAGAGCCACATTTGGAGGGTTTGATGTTTTATAGGAGTGCTAACAACTGTGTCCCAGAGTCCTCTCTGGAGACTGCCAGGAGAGGTCAGCCAGCCCTCCATCAGTGCCCATGGATTCCCTCCCGACTGGAGCTCATCCTAATGAATTGTCATGGAGGGCCGTTGTGATAATCAACTTGCTATTAATGTGGGTTTAGAAATGATCCCAGCATTGATTAGAGGCAGCTTGTCTGCCAGAGCTGGTAGTGACAGCTTCCAGCTGGCTGGGTCTGAGACTTGCTCCTACTGTCACTGATGGCAGGACACACAGGTCCCCACCATCCTCCTCATCTCTTCCCTTGGGAACAGCGCTGGGAGCACCCTCCAACACTGAAGGCAGCAAAAATGGTCAGCTTTCATCCAGAGCAGGGTCCAGGAGCAAGGACTGGTTGTATTTCTACACTGACCCAGGAGGAAAAGAGAGAGTCTGACCTCCACAGGTGTTCCCTGCTGGAGAGTATGGCCATGGACCACCCATCCCAGGATCCCAAGAAGTCCTGCCTTCAGCTTGGTTGTGTGACACTGGGGCAGTGCAAACCACATTCTTCTCCCCCACCCAGCTGTGCTGCTTTTTCCTTAGGGGTTCACAAAATCTGGAGCTGCAACACCATTTAGTGCAACAAATTTACAGTGAAAGGGTTCAGAGATGGGTAAATTGGGAGCTCAAAAATGCCAGGTTCACCTCCCTAAGCTGATTTAGGGCTTTTTTTCAATTTTCTTAAGAGTGGTTAATTAAGAGAAAAGGAACCTGTGACCCTGGGAAAAAACCTCCCTGACTGGAAGGAGAAATTGGTACATGCCAAGTTCTCCAAGCCTTCTGCTGGGAACTTGCCAGTTCAGAATAAAGAGAGAGGCACCCAGCTGTACCAATCTGCTGGGCTGTGGTACAAACTGGGATGAAATTCCCCTGGGAGATGGGACAGGGTGATGTATCTGAAAGTCTTTATGGGATGCTGAAACTGTGTAGGGATGGTTTCAGTGACTGGTAAAAAGAGGCTCATCTCCCCTGCAGCAGAGAGAGATCACACTGGTCCCCTCACCTCCCTCCCCAGTTCTGAAGGAAACAAGGATCCACCTGAGAATCATTTCCCCTTCTATGCCCAGCTTCAACCCCCTCTTGACCACAAAAAACCTGCTCAATATTCCATGAAGTCTTTCAGAGAAGAAAGTAAACATTCATCTTACATTTTACAGGAAGTTAAAAGGGGCTCAAGAATACCAATATTGAGCTGAAATTTGGTGCTTTATTGTGTGCAGGATTAGGGCAGCTGCCAAAAGGAGCATGAAGAAGACACAAACAGCCTCAGTCCTTAAGGGGAACCCATTGTCTAGGCTTTTATTTTATTTTATTTGTACTGTGGTACACCAACACCCAGGGAGATATCTGCAGCAAGAACTCTACCCTAGCAACGTAGCAATGGCATATTGTGAGACTTAGCATGCAATAACCCCTTTGGATGTTGCCAGTGGCTCCTGTTATTTGGTCCAAAGTAGTTTGTAGTCAGGAACTCTGCTCTGGAATGTACAAGGACAGGTTTTCCATGGCAAAGTCTGCTAGGACCCTAGAGGGTGTTTGGCCAAGCAGGGATGCATCCACTTTTCTCTCTACTCTAGACTTGGAGTCTAAACAAAGACATCAACTTGTCTGGCAATGGCCAGAGCATGGCTGTAGGATTTGATGGTTGCTGAGCCTTGGTTTTGGGCAAGACTCAGAGCTCCCACCATCTCTCCAGCCAGTAGCTGATCTGCTTTCTTTCTCCTCTCTGCCTGGCATAACTTGTGTCATTTTATACACTATTGTTGGGCTGTGGAAGGCATAGGGTCTGCATCTCTGGAGGTTTTGGAGAAGAGATTGGACTCTTTTTGGGGCTGGTCTGCCTAAGTCCGCAGGCCACTGGTACAAAGTCACCTTGCCCTGGCTTTCCCATCACTGCTCTCTCCTTACTCAACCTGGGAGGATGTCAGGCCACCCCCTGAGGAGTACTCACACACATTTGAGTGCAATCTGAGCAGAGGACCAACTGTGATAACACTTAGTTCTTTCAAGGGACTTTTCAATCTGTGTGTCTCAAGAAGCTTCATTGAAGTACTCTCCACGTTTTTGGTGGAGGAAAAGGAAACATCCAAATGTAGTAGTTTACTTGCAGTCATGGGGCACTCTGGGCAAAAACACTCTCCTGTTCCAATACTTATAAACGTATCACTCCCCTCTGCTCCCCTGTGTTTTAGAGGGCAGGAGACACTGCTTTTCAGGGACAGAAGCAGCAGGTTCCTGCTCTGTGGCTTGCAAAGTGGTCTGCAGCCTCATGGCTCTCTATAGACATTTCAGAGTAAATTTTTTCATGGGTGCTTTAAGGAGAGAACAAAGGACAAATTAGCTCTGCTGCAGAGGACTCATTGCTGGCCTAGGCTGCTCTGAGCTGCTGGCTCTGCCCACACACACACACACACACACACATCTGCTCCAACCATGTTGGACCAACAAATTCCACCCTCCTCCCAGCAAGAAATGGTGGCAGTGGTCAGAAAAGGCTGGTCCAGCCTCCCCATTAGTCCAGTGGGTTTACAATCTGCAGAACACAGTGAGTCCAAGTGTATGTACTTCAGCTTCACAGCAAGGTGGATTCTCCATGGGACTGGTCTTCAGAGACTCCAAGCAGCCACAGCAGCAGCAAAAGTCACCAGAGCCTGTAAGCACTCAGCACCTTGCAAGGAGAGGAACTCCATCACAAACAATGGCTAGGATGGAAACTGGAAAGCAGGGCTCTCTTCAGGGGTCCCTGATGGTTTCTGGTAGGGCAATTACTCATTTTTCCAGTGGGTTTTTGGTGTGCAGTTGCTACAGTGAGAGGACTTAGGGCAGCCTTGTATTTCCAAGCCAGTAAGACCCTGTGTGAATCCCTGATGAATTCACAAGCACACAGTCTTATACTCCAGGCAAATGCAGCAGCAAGCTCATGGTCCCCTTCTCCCCATCATTTGGACAGAAGGAAGCACATTTGGGGAATATTTCACAGGGCTGAGGGGCTCCAGAAGCACTGAGCTGTTCTCTGCTTTACCACAGTGCTGGCTCTCATTAAAAAGAAAAAAAAAACCAAAAAAACTCCAGATGCAAAAATGGAACAAAGAACTGAACTGAAAGAAACATAGCTGGAAGGAGAAAAGCTGAGCAAGAAGGGATCAGGCTTTAAAAACAATGGAGCCTTTCAGCTGAGCTGGTTCGAGGCCGCCACTGAAAGTGAGGAGAAAATACATCACCTTGCGGATCTGGGCTAGTTCTGCTATCCTCTCCCCAAACTCCTGGGCATCTGCCTCATTGCACTCCACCTCCTCAGCCCCTGGCTTCTTCCAGAAGATTCCCACCGGCTCCAGCAGCTGCCGGTTCATCAGGTGGGTGAGGTCAGGAGTCCAGAGCTGGGAGGTGCCCGTCACCGTGACCTTGCCGGGTGTCTCCAGCTGCACGTTCCAGCGGAGGAAGCGCAGCTGGTGCTGCTGGATGAAATCCACTCGGTAGATCTGCTCATTGGGGCGCAGCAGCCTCTCCCCATCCTGGGGCCTCATGTTCCTTTGCTGCAGGCTCTGGAACCGCAGCTGCATGCGCCGCGTGAGCTGCTCGTCGCAGGTGAAGGGCAGCTCAAGTGTCCCTGCCCCAGCTGCCATCACCCTGGCTGCTCCTCTGCTCTGTCCTCAGCAGCGTGTGCCTCTCAAACGGGGCACGCAGGGGGAAGGATCAGACAGGCCCCTGGAGCTGGTGTCCCTTCTCCAAAGTCGCAGCAGTGCTAGGCAACCTGGCCCAGTGACGCAAAACGCCTCTGGGGCTTCCCCTGAGCGCCCTCCCGACTCATCTGCAGAGTCAGTGCTGTTGGTGCTGCTGTGCACGATAATCTACAGGGAAGGGATGTCTCATGTCAGCCTCCCCAGTAACCTCCCTGACAACCATGGCTCATTAGCCCAAAACAAAGCCAGGGATGCCACCTTGGGAGGGATGAGTGGCAGTGGTTTTCTCTGACTGTAGGTTCATGGCTAATTCAGGCTGGAATGAGACTCTGGAGGAGTCTGGTCTGAGCTACTGCTCAAAGCAAGACCTACTTCAGAGTTAAATCAGTCGTGTTTCTCTGGCTTCATCCAGTCCATCTTTGAGTATCTCCATGGACAGAGGTCCCACAGTCTCTCTGAGCCCTGTTCCAGGGTCTGACTGAGCTCATGCAGAAGATAAGCTGCAGCTTGTGCTGCTGTCCTTTGTCCTCTGACTGTGCATCCCTGCAAGAGCCTGGCTCCATCTTGTCCACACTCCCCTATCCAGGCAGGATGGGGCTCAGAGGAACAAGGTCCAGTGGCAGGTGTTTCTGCCCATGGCAGGAGGGATGGAGCTAGATGACCTTTTAAAGGTTCCTTCCAAGCCAAACCATTCTGTGATTCTATGGTTAAGTAGCTACACACAGCAATAAGCTCCCCTTTTACCTTCTCTCCTCCTGGATGTACAGACCCACTTTCCTCCTGACCATTTTGGTGGCCTCCATCAGGCTGTGCCATCCAGAAAAAGACAGGAGGGTCCCAAGGGACAAATTGACTATAAGTCAATGAATAGCAAACTAACATGACCATCATACCCTTTTCTGCATGGTACAGCTGGCAAGAACCAGACACCACACTGCTCCTGCAGCAGGAAATCAGCACCAGCATCCTGGCATGGTTTTGACCCCCATTTTAATGTCTCCATTTCTTTTCATAAAAGCTAGACACATCTGAAGGATCATAGAAAGGGTGTTACAGAGCCAGATCACACCTAGACCCATGTAGGGTCATCCAAGACTCAGGAATTTAGACAACAGCTCTCAACTAAATTCCAGCACCTAAATTCCATTCCCACTCAGTGATTCTCACCATGCAGGCATAATGGGAAGCAGGGGCATGGAGAAAGCAAGGTGGAAGAAAATGTTTGAATAAAATAACCTCCTAGGATCCACAGGGATGTGCTGGCCTGCCTGATTTCCTTGAAGGTATTCTCCCTCCCCACACTTAAGAGAGACAATTTCACTGTGTGAAATGGAGCAAGGGACATGCAGAGCCTATGTTACATCCTGGTGTACACCAGGAACACATTTTCTAGTAGCCATGGGTGATCTGGGCCAAGATTCCTGGGCTGATATTTCAGAGATACTAAAGCCTGCATCAGCATCTCTCAGCTTTTGCCAGACCCCAAATAGAGACATTTTGGTGTCCAGCAATGTTATCACAACATGTGATAACATTGCATGTGTAATCACACTTAGGACCCAGGGGCCCATTATTTCTGTCTCTGAGATCTTCAGCAAATAAGAAATTCTTTACTGTGAGCATGGTGAGACACTGACACAAGAGGCTCAGAGAATTTGTGGATGCCCCATTCCCAGAAGCGTTCAAGGTCAGGTTGAATGGGGCTTTGAGCAGCCTGGTCTAGTGAAAAGTGTCCCTGCCTGTGGCAGGGGAGCTGGAACTAAACAGTCATTAGGGTCTCTTCCAACCTTTATAATTCTATAAATCAAACCTTTCTGAAAGAAAAGAGAGGGCAGGTAAAAAAAGCCTCTGAAAGTTAAAGCAATGGAAAATGAGAAGTCACAAACACCCACAGCCAAATTGCCAAGGGAGGAAAAGCAATGCCCAGCAAACTGAAATGATGAAGTGTCCAAAGGGACCCAGCCTCTGTTTGGTTGGCATTTCCCAGGGCAGAGCTGGAAGTGAATGGTGAGGAAGGATGACAACTTGCCCACTCACCCTTGGGGGATGTTGATGGTGAGGAACAAGCTAATCAACCCTGTGCATCATCCTTGTGATAGAGCGACAGCAGTCACCACAGCCACCATGGCAGGAAGTCATACTGCTTATCTAGAAGGCAACAACAGCTATCCTGTTCCCATATAAAGAAAATCCTTGATTTTAACAAAAAATGGGGATGCTGCAAGAAATCCCTGAGCCTGGTAGTCATGCTCACCACAGGAAGCAGAGACTGGAAGAACCACAATACCCAGGGCAGATGTAAAGGTGTGGGGTGGAGGAAGGCTGTAGGAGGCTGTGGGTGAAGGAGGGTGGTGCAGCCTGCACACACTGGCTGGCTGCCTTTTACAGTAAAATCTGGGAAAAGCTGCTTGCAGCTTGCTGGTCTCTTGCCCTGTGATGATGTACACCTGCACCAGAGGCTGAAGTCCCCCTGCCTTGGCTTTCACAGGGCTGACATCTTGCACAGCTGAGGCCATGGTGGAGATGGGCACAGACTGTCCAAGGATGTGGCACTGAGCACCTCCCTCCCCCTGTACCTCTCTGCTTGCTCCCCAGGCCTGCAGCCCCTCGCCCTGCTGCAGCTCCTTGGTGGCCTTCTGGCACACAGTACATTCCCCTTGGACCCCACACTTGGTCCATGCAGCCATGGGACAGGCCAGGGATGGATGCTTTGGGCAAGCAGTGACTTGGGAGAGATGTAACAGCCTGAAATCAACCTTCCTGCCCCAGCATGAGGTGTCTCACTGCCAAGGTGGAACACAGTAAACAAAGAGAGGGGACACCATGGGAACAAGGGGAACAGGGCCTAATGCTGCAGCTGAGCAATTCAATCATCCTGAATTTTGTTCTTATTCTTAATTTTTGGATTGTTTTGGTATTCAAAGGGTCAAATTTGGGATCTGAAAAACAGGATGGGATTTGATCCACTTGGTTAAGGAGAAACTGTACAAGGGTTTGTTTGGAGTGTGGTGACTGCAGTCATGATGACTAATGCCCTTTACAAGCCAGTCATTTAAGGGAGATTTTTGCACATTATCAGCTTTTCAGGACATGAGGCATCTCTGAGAACCAGTTTTTGACTTGGACAAACACAAAGCGAAGCCAAGGTGTTGACAGGCTCTCCCTTGGCATGGGGAATCACTCACCTTCTGCCACAGAGACTCCCGGGATGCCAGGGAGGAGCAGGCAGCCACAAACCAGCAGTTCCCAACCTGGCCCTGGTGCAAGTCATGGGAGCTGATCCCATCCACAAAGAGACGTGGATCATTGCAGATTTCCTGTGGGACAGGAGAAAAACAGACACACTGGCTCAGTGAGCAGATGGGGAAATCAGGGCTTCTTGGCAAAGGAAAGTCACCCTCTCTTCCTCAGACTCCATGTAAACCTGACCTGCAGCTTTCTGCTGGCCTCGCTCATCAGGCTGGTGGCAGAAGGACCCTGCCCTGCCTTCTGCTCTCACCAGGACATGGGCAGCATCACAAGACCTACTCCCTACTCTGTCCCAGCACCAGTGCAGCTTTGTCATAATTATCCCTGTTGATAATGGTAGAGTTTCACACCATTACTGCCCTTCTAAGTCTCCTCTTTCAGATGCCTCTACGCCGTGGCTGTTTTACAAAGAGTGAGGGATCTGCTCTTCCAGATCCTAGCACAACAGATAAGAAAATTACGGTGAGCCAAAAGCTTTGTAGCTGGGCCAGAAGGATTAAATACTCATTTTGCCACCAAAACCAGGATGGTGGATTGTGCATAGACACCATGGATGTAGAAACTTGGGTAGGAGGCAGCTGGGAGGTAAGCTCATCCCTCCAACCATGCATGACGACCATTGACTTTTCTCTGCCTGGCTCCTGTCAGGCTGCCCTCCCTGCTTCCCACTCCCACTTAGAGCCTGGACAAGAAAGCACTTAAATAACAGAGGGTGTTGAGCAAGCTTCAAGTGACACATTGCTTTTTTAAAAATGCTTTTTCTCCTGCTCAATCCAGTTTGTAAGTTCACATCCAGCTGGGAGCAGATGGGACAGACAAAGAACTGAGAGAACCTTTTCCCCTTTGCTATTACGTTTAAACTGAAGAGGAAAAAGGAAAAGCAGATTATTATTCTTCCCCCACACCTCCCAGTTTTTCAGGTTGTTTGTACCCAGAATAATATGCCCCACCCCACCCCGACTTTGCATACGAGGACTTGTATTACCTCTACCCATAGATTCATAGAAGGGCTTGGGTTGGAAGGGACTCTAAAGATCATCTAGTTCCAAACCCTGCACTCTAGGCAGAGACCCCACCCACTAGATTATGTTGCCTAAGGCCCCACCACAGGGATAGAAACCATAAGCACCTCCTGCTATTCCCACCCAGCCCAGGCAGCACCAAATACCTCCAAGTTAACCTGACACAAACGGGCCAGGATGAGGCCGAAGGAAAAGGCCTAATCGCCTGAAGCTGGCGGTGCAGGGTGTTGGGATGAGCGCTAGAGGGAGGCAAGCTGACAGCAGCAAGGGCAGGAGCCACCAGCACCCCTCAGCATGGCTGCGCGCATACAGGGACGGCAGAGGAGCGGGCCCAGCTCCTGTTTCACTGCACCGGGAGAGCTCCCAGCAGTGGGGGTGTCTGTAAGATCAGCTCCTTGTGATCCTGCTCTTTCGTTATTTCATCTGAGGGCCACAGCTGCCCTTTCTGCCCTTGGGGGCATATGAGGATTACAATAAAGGAGTTGCTTGGTATTACACAGACAGGAGAGAAACACAGAGACCCAAAATGGTCTGGGTTGGAAGGAATCTTTTAGAGGCCATCTAGTACAAGTCCCTGCAGTAAGTGGGGACATAATCAACTGGATCAGGTTGTTCAGAGCCCAGTCCAACCTGATCTTGAATGTTTCCTGGGGCTGGGACATCGATCACCTCTCTGGGCAAGCTAAGCCGGTGTCTGACCAGCCTCTTTGTAAAAAATTTCTTCCTTATAGGTAGTCTAAATCAGTTTAAAACCACTACTCCTTGTCCTGTCTCAACAGGCCCTGCTAAAAAGTTTGTCCCCACCTTTCTTATAAGCCACTCTCAAGTAGTGAGAAGCTGCAGTAAGGTCTGCCCTGAAGTGCAGAGCAGGGCTACCACGCTTCCCTGCAGAAGGCCCACACACCACGCTCGAGCCTGGGGACTGAGCCTGGTCCTAGTGGACCCCCAGTGATCCTAAGCACAGAATCACCAAATCAATGTGGTTATAAGGAATTTCTGGATATCATCCTGTCCACACCCCCTAATCAAAACAGGATCAGCTATAGCAGGTTGCTCAGGACTGTGTTCAGTCAGGTTTTGAGTGTCTCCAGGAATGGAGACTTTGCAACCTCTCTGGGAAGCCTGTGCCAGTTTTTGGACCACCCTCACAGTATCAAGTCTTTTCTTATAATTAAATAGAATTTCCTGATTTTCAGTTTGCACACACTGTCTCTCCTGTGCTGTCACTGGGCACCACTGAGAAGTCTGGCTCGTTCTCCTTCATTCCCGGCTCTCCGGTATTTATGGACATTGTTAAGATTCCCCTGAGCCTTCTCTTCTCCAGAGTGAAAAATCACAGAACCATTAAGAAGACCTCTAAGATCGTGGAACCCAGCCTTTAACCCAGCACTGCCAAGTCCACCACTAAACCATACCTCTCAGCACCACATCTGTACTTTTCTTGAATATTTCTAGAGATGGTGATTCCACTGCTTCCCTGTTCCAATTCTTGAACACCCTTTCAGTAATGAAATGTTTTCTAATATCCAATCCTTGTAAAGGGGAAGGCAGCACTGCCTCCTTGTTCTAATGCCGTGGAACTGATCCCATCAGGATGAGTCTCATCCATGGGTCAGTCTCCCCAGCAAAACCCACCTGGGAAAGTTTGCCATATTCCTTAGATTGGAGCTTACCAATATTAAATTACTTGGATTCTTCAGTCCCTATGGAAGATGCTGAGTTTCCACTCATGCATTTTGTATCTGGTCTAGACTGTGTGGCCTCAATCCACTGGGATGACATTCCCTGTGTTCTTTCTGGCTGTACTGAGGTGGGAGCCAAGGACCAAGGCACTGCTTCAGCCAGGCTGCAATGCCCCAGGACTGCATGGAGCATGGTGGGGCCCTTGTTTGTGATGCAGAGCACACTCGGAACCATGTAGCACCATGCCTATGTACAGAGGTGGTTGATGGACAAGATACCAGTGGGAACTAGGTCAAAAAGCCAAGAAAAGCTTTGGAACATTTAGTGCTCCTTTTCCTGTGAAAAGTGCTGGAAGTGATAAGGAGCTTGTTCTGCAGCCAGATGGAATTACAGGGCCTGGGATTTGCATGTGCAAAGGGAGGAGGGAAGCAGAGATTCCCAGAGCAGAGAAGGCCATGACCTTGGTTTCCTCCCCTCCCTACCATGCAGCAGACAGAATCCAGGTGAGCAATAACATTTATCCAGGCAGCAAACACCACGTCACCCGCCCGGCACCATGACCCTGAGAGAGGAGGGCAGCACACCAACATCTACACCCACACACACCCTGGGGCCTTCTGGGTTCAGGCTTCAGCCACAGCAGAACCAGCTCAAACTGCCTCTTGCCACTTGAGGCTCCAGCAGACAGGAACTCCATCCTGTCCTTCATGTATTACAGCCTGATCCTGGCTGCTCCTAGTCTGGACATAGATGGAGAGCAGGAAGGAACAGGGAGGGGAAGCCAAAAGCTATGGCTGCAGGGAAGCAATGGTTTTAATGTGTGGTTCTTAACTCTGCCTTGGCCAAGGGAGTCATCCATGTCTCTTTACCCCTAAGGAGAACCTGTCTTAGAGGATCCCAAGAATCACCGAAGCATTGAGGCTGGAAAAGCCCTTAAGATCACCAAGTCCAACCATTAATCCAACATTTCCATGTTCACCACTAGATCACGTTGCCAAGTGCCACACCTACGTGTTCTTTGAACACTTCTGGAGATGGTTATTACAAGGACCTAAGCACCATCAGAGATGATCTGCCCTCCCCAAAATTGTCTGCTGAAATGCCTGCTGAGCTCCAGGCAACAAAACACAATTTAGAGAAAGCCTGTGTGGATGGTTCTATGGAAAGATTCAGACTGATAACACAGAGAGGGCCCAAATAGTGATTCAAAGTTCTGGTGATTCATATCCTCCCTCCTCCAATGGATGTGGGACAGAGGTGGAAATCAGAGCCAGAGCAGGTCCCTGTTGATGAGGGGCTGATTGCAGAGGTCTGGTTTATGAGAGCCCATATTGGGACAGTTTGCTTCCTCCAGTTTTGGATTTTTGAAGTTCATTAAGGCAAAAAAGAATACCCAATCAGAGCAATTATCTTGTACTTTTTTGCTTCCCACCCAAAAGCACATGGTCTTTCCCTCTGCTCTCCCTTTTGGGATAACTTCCCAAAACACACACAATTTTCTTCCAAATACATTTAAAGCAGAAAATATCTTCCTCACCTTCTCCAGCCAGTCCAGTTCCACACAGGGTTGTAAGGAGAAAATCACTCTCTAATTTGCTTTATAATTGGTGACTGCTTTACCATAAATGTTTCCTGGTGCAGGTTTCTGAGATTCAGATTCACTGGGGATCTGGATCATGTCCAGCCAGATGTGGGGAGGGAAAAAGCTATGGCAGGAGGAGGAATAACCACGGGAGATGCAACATCTGCTGCATGCCAGGACCATTTTTTGCTAACAAGATTTTGTAAGGAACAGACAAGTCTAATTTCATTGCAGAGCCTGGCTGTTTCAGAACAATGCCTTCCCTCAGACTTGCAAAGTCAGCAAAATAATCTATTAGCATGGCTGCACTCCCTCCCTCCCTTCTGAGCAACTGGGAACCGAAAGGATCCTGTCTTAAATGTCACTCACACAGACAAGAGAGCAAGAGGCCCCCAGGCATGGCAAGCAACAGTGACACAGCAGACACAAAGGTCCCTGTGTTGCCCTGCTGCAGGTATCTGCAACTGGGATGTGATTTTGCAAAAAGGGAAATTAATAAAATTTGCACGAGGGTGACAAAGGAAAGGGAAACGGGGTGAATTTAGAATACCAGGTGTCTATGCTTTCAGATGGATTATTATAGGATTATAGAATCATGGAGTGGTTTGGGTTGGAAGGGACCTTAAAGATCATTTCTCTCCAACCCCCTGCCATAGGCAAGGACACCTTCTACTAGAGCAGGTTGCTCAAACCTCATCCAACCTGGCCTTGAACACTTTCAGGGATGTGGCAGCCACAGCTTCTCTGGACAACCTGTGCCAGTGCCTCACCACCCTAACTA